GGGGGCACTGCCGTGCCCCCAGATTCAACTTTCAATTTAACATATTCTCCGTGTGGTTTCGGTAGAGTAAAATAGAACCATCCCGCACTTTCCTGTGGATATCGTAGATACAAATTATTTGTTTGTCTGTCTATCTGTCTGTTTTTCTGTCTTCTGACGGTCTGTCTGTTCGCTCGTTCGTTCGTTTGTTCATCCATACATCCATCCATCCATTCATCTATTCATCCATTCATTCATTCATTAATTTATTTATAAATAATAATATGTAAATATCAGGCCCCGAACCATCTGGCCAGCATAGGATGTAGGCCAAATCCTCCATTTGGTTCTGATAACTTAGAAGAATCATCTCTAAGTAGTAAATTAGATAAGGTCATGCTCCTGCAGTGGGAGACTACCTGTTCGTTACTTCATTTCAGCCAAATGACGTCCACTGCTGGACAAAGGCCTCCCCCAAGGTTTTCCACAAAGACCGGTCCTGCGCCGCCCGCATCCAGGTACCTCTCGCGACCTTCACCAGATCGTTGGGCCACCTAGTGGTGGGCTTGTCCACACTAGGTCTTCCACGTGGTCGCCACTCGAGAACTTTTCTGCGAGCTATGTGCGACTACCAGATACTTCATCATCATCATCATCATCTCAGCCATAGGACGTCCACTGCTGAACATAGGCCTCCCCCAATGACTTCCACATCGCACGGTTGGTAGCGGCCTGCATCCTTCATCTTGCAGATACTTCAAAAACTCTCATAAAACGCTACCTCTTGTGCTTTAGTCCTTTCGTAATCTACACAGAATTGATTGAGACGAAGGACTAATTTAGCGTTAATTGACCCTTAACGGACCCTTAACTCGCGTGTAACGGGGCCTTAATGCATTAATTGTTTTGCCGCCGCAGCCTGGTAGTGCTTTCTGAGATTTGTTTGGTTAATTTTGAGAAGGACGTGAAATAATGACAGTTTAAAGCATGATTTCCTGCTTTTTTTTATACTACTGCTAGCTTTTTCTACTTGTATTTAAAACGCACGATATTAAAAACACCCTAACCCAGTATCTGTGTACCAAAGGGTGATTTTGCAAACAGTTTCAAAATTTTTAGGAGCCACTGAGAATCAGTAACTTAATCGATCTACGTAAAAAACTTTTTTAAAAATATTTATTTATTGTTATCTGCTGCGTGCGTATTCAAAATTGGCACACATGGATAATTTACTTCGTTCATAGAAAAATAAGCACACACAGTTAACTACAAAGCTTAATAGATTAAAAGCATTCTAGTGGGCGAAAATAAACCTTAGCCCCTTAAATGAATAAAACACCTTTAAAGGTCGTCTTGAAATTGTACATAATGACTGTCAAAACTTTAACACCTACCTAAATTATTTCGTCAATCACTGATCAAGTGTGCATAATTTAATCACATCGCGTCTTTTATAAAACTCATCTGATGATCAAAATGAAGTGTAAGATTATACTTAACTATAATTATAAAATTAGATGTTGCTTTCTGTATTAAGAAGCCTTCGATCCAAGGCTTAGCGGGGTATAATTATAAATTAGATCTTTATAGTGATCAAGCGAACGCATGATTGGCATAGCAAATGATTTCGTTTGGTAATGATCTATCTCGTTATAATCAGTAATATCAAAGTGCTATTAAACCGTTATCGTACTTTCTTATAATTTTTCTTCATAATTCATAATTATCTATAAACTAACGGCCGCCCGCGACTTCGTACGCGTGGATCCCGTTTTACCCCCTTAGGGGTTTAATTTTGCAAAATCCCGTCTTAGTGAAGCACCTACGTTTTAAAAGGCAATGCAAAATTTGAGACTCATAGCATTTGTTCGTTCGTTCGTTCGTTTCAGCCGAAAGACGTCCACTGCTGGACAAAGGCCTCCCCCAAGGATTTCCACAAAGACCGGTCCTGCGCCGCTTGCATCCAGGTACCTCCCGCGACCTTCACCAGATCGTCGGTCCACCTAGTAGGAGGCCTGCCCACGCTACGTCTTCCAGCTCGTGGTCGCCACATAAGAACTTTCCTGCCCCAGCGGCCATCAGCTCTTCGAGCTATGTGCCCCGCCCACTGCCACTTGATTTTAGCGATTCTGCGGGCTATGTCAGTCACTCTGGTTCTCCTACGGATCTCCTCATTTCTGATTCGATCACGCGCAGTCACGATAGCATTTGTAGTTTCTGAGATTTTGTGATCAATCAATCAGTGACCTTTCGTTTTTACCTATTGTATACAAGTATACTCATTTAACTCTTTGTGTGCTCTTTTCGGGAATCGAACCCATGAGTTTATAATGACCATTAATGATTTGAATGTTTATTTATTTACTTGGTGAACATAAGAAAATGGTGTAGGTATATTACTTGCTCGTAAAAAGTTGAGCTGGAATTAAACCCAGATCTAGTTCAGTTCATGGCATAATATATGGGATATTCTCGTGCCTATTTTATGGGCCCATAACGCCATAGGTACTTAGGCTGTCGATATGTTACGGTCAAAGTGATAAATGTGAAAATTATGAATAATCGCCGGTTATTATGAATAATTACCGCATGATTGGGTAAATGTGATTAATATGAGGTCATTTATGTGTGTATAAAACTAAATAGGCGGCTTAGGGGTGGCCCAAGGGCCACCCCCGCCGCACCTTAACCTATTTTTCACTTTAAATCAAAAGATTATGTTATGGGCATCATGGAAAATTAATATTATGCAAGAAACATTCCAAACTCATTATGCAAAATTATATTAATATATGATATCAAAACGTTCAAAAGTTTGGCTGTACACGAGCACGTACACAAGATGTTGTTCTCTTTTGTAAAAATTGTTAGTACTAAGGTTGAATTATTAAATAATTACTGTTAAATGTGATTAATTTATCACTTTTACCGCGACTTTCGGTAATTATTCATAATAACCGGTTATTATTAATAATTTTCAATTTATTACATTAACCGTAACAGATACACTACTACACCAGTGCTATGAGACAGGTTAAGGACAGAAGAATAAGAAAAAAGAAGAAATTTGAGGGTTACCCTCGATTTCCCTAGGATCCCATCAACACACGTTGACTTGGTGACTTGGAACACTTCGGAACACCTTGGAACAAAAAAATCTTGGAAATCGGTTCATAAATGACGGATTCTGCGGTAACATACATACAAAAAAAACCTCGAATTGAAAACCCCCTCCTTTTTTTGAAGTCGGTTAATGAACTCACACTAACCAATATGCATGATATAATCACTGTTTAATTTCAATCTGCCTCAAAAAATTTGCCTCTGACTATGACTTTAGGTAATTTTGTTTGGCTGAACTTTTTTTGTGTAAAATTTTTGAGAATGTGGCCTATTGTGAACACACCTTTACATAATACATTCCAGGCCACAAGCACAGAATAAGTAATAGTACAGGTACAGAAGGATTACTCCGCAAGACGATTTAAATAAATGCGAGTCTTGCTACGACGCGATACAGTGGAATTCAGCTCGCACAGCACTACGTACCTACAATTTTATTCACCTACAAGTTTTGTCTCTTTCTATCGCGTGCCTCTGAACTCTTCTTACGCTGTTAGGGTTGCTGTCTAGTAGTGTCTAGTAAAAAATAATTAATCTACTTATTTATTATGAGGTACGTATGTAGGTAAGTACGCATTCATTATAGAAAACCTTGGGAGAGGCCTTTGCCCAGCAGTGGACGTCATTTATTTTGGCTGAAACGAACGAACGCATTCTGAGCAGTAGTCATGGTAGGTTAGGTTCCTATACTATCCTAAGAATTATTGATTACCTACATGGTCAACATACCTTTCAGCATCTTTGGGAAGCGAAAAAAAAAGATAAATCCGGTAGATTTCTTTTCGAATTTAAACACCCGAACGCCGCACAAAAATATTTCTTTCTCTTTATGTCCATTTTTAAATAATACTTCGATCATAGAATTAGTTACTAAAACGCATGCCAGCATACTGACGGGCGCGCGCGTGACACTCGACTGATATAATACCCGCCGGCGGGGCGCTTCGCTGTAGGTAATTATCGGATGTAACGCGCGGAGTGAGCCAGGCCTGCCACAAGACAGACACTTAACAGCAAAAATATATGACCACCCGCTTAGTAGCCATTCTCTACGTCAAGTGCTAGTAAAATGTCTACATACTGTACATAATCAAAATCTATCCTGCGTGTATATAGACTTTGGAAAGTAAATAAGATTAAAAAAGAAAGACTAATGCCCGTTTTCACCATCAATCCCTTATTTTTAAGTGACGCCTATGAAAACAAAATGCCCGGTATGTGTTACCATAGGAGTCACTTAAAAATAAGGGATTGATGGTGAAAACGGGCATAACTGATCTGTTGCAGTGAGCTGAATTAAAAATGATCTACGCTAATTAAAAGAGGAAATATTTGGCTGTCTGTTTGTATTGAAATAGGCTCCGAAACTACTGGACCGATTTGAAAAATTCTTTCACCAGGAGAATCATACATTATCCCTACTAATGAACATAGGCTATAGAATATTTTTCAAAGAGGGATTTTTTTAAGCAAAAATGAGGAAGTTCTTTGCCTGTATCTCACCTGATGGTAAGCGATGATCAGGCCGAAGGTGGAAGCGAGCTTCACCTGAAATCCTCAACCACGGAGGAACTAGCTATCTTACCTCTAACTGCCGGAATACAAAAATTTTGTTAACATTGTTGTTATGGCGACAGACTTGGGTAAGATGTGGTACCTAGCCAGGTGGACTTAGAACAAGCCCTACCACCAACCAAACCGAACAGGAAAATCTGCCCCCACTGGGAATCGAACCTTGGTCTTACCACTAGACCACAGTCATAGGTATAAAATTGTTGTAAACAAAACTATTTTGTTATTAAAATATAAAATGCGTGTGCTGTGCTACACACCTCATAATACAATACGAATAATTTGACCCTCGCGAGAATAGAACCCACAAGTTTTGGGTTGCTTACCTTATAAACACGCGGGTACAGGTTGCTCGTCTCTATCGAGCGATCTGGAACAAACAATCTATTATTAATCGATATGCAAAAAGTATTCGATCATTAACAATCTGAATAATTACATCTTGCATGTAGCATACCTATTATGCATTGAATGTAATGTAACATAAGCACACAATCGACATATTTAATTGTTATTATTAGTAAATGTAAGTCAATAAAGTTGTTCTTTTGTCATCCTGCCTATTTTGTGACTAGCTGAAAGTATGTCGAAAAAAATAAAATTAAAGTAGGTACATTACCATTTTATAAAATTTTACTTAAAATAAAATTTTGGCAGATTTTTTCAAAAATAAAAGTGGACTAATGCGACTCGCAGATTGAGGGTTTGCGCATTTTCTCTCTCACTCTCTCTCTCTTCTTTTATATCATATATATAATTAATTTATTATGTTTAATAAAATACATATTATTCAACATAATAAAGTTTCAGTTCTTTTTGGACCCACCTTGAATCTAAAAATCTTACTCGACTTTGTATGAAGTGTGCGCGTGCGCGTGCAAAAACACGAATGCATTAGTATAAAAATCAGGTCAGTGCATTGTGGCGGATGTGGAGCATTATCATCAGGTGTTCTATTGGTTACATTTATAGCAATTTATAGCAATTAATTTGTCTCGCTATGCTAGGTTTCTATGAGTTTTAATTAAGCCTTCATGGCTTCTTTATTTGTAAAAAAAATAAAATGTAATTGGATTAAAATCAAAACTCAGCACTCAATAAAAGCTAACAGGTTAATTTGATTTTCTTTGATAATAAAACTTGAAGGTAGGGGATGAAAGTTTGTACTATTGTATAAGAAGCCATAATTTCGGGTACGTTCAGGAATAAGTAATTAAATTAAGTAATAATTAAATTGATAAGCATTGTTAATAATTGAAAGTGATGATCATATCATAACGAACGCGGAGACAGAGAACCAACAAACGCGAAGAATTTTCTCTTGCTGGGAATCGACCCTGGGATCTCTAAGACCTGGCCACTAGACCATAGGATGAGAAACAGGATGCATTACTTTAACTATTAAAAACGTCAAAAGTCTGTCCAACTAAAAAACACCGGTTATGGTTATAGTTACGGTTAAAGTAAGGTGGTGCAACTAAACCTTAAATCGATTCAACAAAGTCACAGCCAAAACATTGTTTAAAAAATCCTTGCTGCAATATTTAAACATAACCTTGAATACAACATGTATCATAACATCAAACATGGACACTGCCATGTTTGTTTGTTAGTACACTCCCAAAAGTGAGAGAATTGACGCGTTTTGCAATGAGACTTAAACAAACAAACGGACACATTGACAGGGCCTTTGACCTAGCTTGTTAGGGTTGACCTAATTTATAAGCATTAGCGGAACTAAGTAAACCTTTGAGGACACTTATAATTCCACGATATAACGAGAGATTTTAAGAGCTGGGTAGACTTGTGTGAATCTAAACTTAAAAATAGCTTTGAGATCTGTAGATGCCCATATTTGATAAGTATTTCACCAACACCAGAGCTGTATATCTATGCTTGAGTTTGAATAGTTAAAAAATCTTAATATTCATTGAGTTTTGTACATAAACAGACAAAAGATCCCAAAATGTGTAGCCATTTGTGACGCGTCGTCTTACGGGTCTATTCTCACTAGCTAGTACCTACAGCGTGACCGCCAGTAAAATCCAATCAGTGAAGTTTTTCCCGCGGAAAAGGAACTGTCATTGGACCCGCAACGAAATTAATCAGAAGAACATAGAAGCAGTTAAAAATCTAGAGTGCAAAGCTGCTGGCGACAAACGTCTGTAGTCTACATCTAACTACTATTATAAAGAAGAAAGATAATAATCAAATTATTATTTATTAAATTAATAATATTGTCGGCCGTTTGGTATAGTGGTTCGAAACGGACTACTATTCCGGAGGTATTGGACTGGGTGTTTTCTATGTATAATAAGTATGTATTTACAAAAAAAAAGTATTTAAGTATGTTTATATCCGTTGTCTAGTACCCATAGTACAAGCTTTGCTTAGTTTGGGACTAAATTCACCATTAAAATCCTACATTATTTCTGATGATGGCGATACAAAGTTCGTCAGGTCAGCCTAGTATAAATTACAGGCTCACTGGCTCACAGAATCCGCTATGTCTTCCACGTTTGGACCATACACGATTCCGAACGGTCCGTTAATAAGATACTGACCGATATGTAGGTGAAGGGTCAGCCCTTGACTTTGGATTGTCGACCACTCATGTCTGGGAACCGAGATTATACCATACTAGTGCCGATACACGCTATAACGCCGCCATTGCTGTTTCAGAGGCTATCGACCTTTGAATTTAAAGTTTCAGTCTTAATAATATGTTCACACACTACATTTTTTTTATTTTTTTATAAAGATTATTAGTAATTTGTTATTACACAAATTACTAATACTCCCGCTAGCCCCTCGTACTAAGCTAAATATGCTTGTGTCACGAGTGAGCTCACCACAATAGTCGAGCGGCGGCGGGGACCGAACCCGCGTTCCCCGGATCACGAGTCGGCCAGTCCGACCCCTTCACCGTTCGGCTATCGTGGCTCAAATAATATACACATTAAATAAGAAAAATTCGGTAGGCTGATAAAACATAATAATAAAATATACAAAACATCTAACCCGGAAAGAATCATATTACGATACCGCGAGTCAACGTCGTCACCACTCGGTATAACACCATCTATGAATGAAAATTGAAACTAACATGTCAAATGCGTGGCGCCATTATGCAAAGCGTAGTACATTTTTAACTTGTGTTGTTTTTTGACTTTTCAGTAGAGTTCATTCATGATCCCTAAAATAGTCGTAGTGAATTCTACCTACCAAACTTCATTGGTCAAAAAGTTTATTTGTCAGTTTTAATTTTGTTATGATTTTTCTCACTACGGGACTATTCCCACCTCTCTTTCCCACCACTGCAACTCCTGTGTAGTCAGAATCTACAGCTTGACCGCCAATAAAACCCAACCAGTGAAGGTCAAGTTTGTCTCTCTAGTTTCCTTCTACTTGTGCCACCCCTGAAACTGGTAACCCTGTATAGTAATGATACAGGGTGATTAACGTGAATTCACGAGAGCGACCGTGAGCGAATTTATAACCGTTATACCTCGTTATAGAGATTGACCTGCCCGCTCTCATCACTTGTATTAGAAAGGGACGATTATATGTGTTTGCTTACATATCGATACTTGGTGATTTGAGTATAATGTGCTGAGATACGGTGTGAGGATTATCGTGAATGTACATACAATGTAGCGTCTTTCTTCGTGACCCAGTCCGATGATTTTCTTTATATGTAATTGACTTACCCCCTTACTAATAAAAAGTTACACAGTTGTTGAACACTGTTTTAAAATGACATTTCCATACTAAACGTCACTTTAAAACACTGTTCAACGAGCGTGTAAGTTTTATTAGTAAGGGGGTTAGTAGCTAACCCTACAGATGTTGGCTTGTCCAAATTGTACAATGTTTTTCTCAATTTCATCATTTTTCAGGAAACTTTTCGAAGTTTTCTTTTTTAACAAATAATAACAAAAACTCATCGGTCAAGCTGTTCGATTGAAGTTTTAAAAATAGAGTTAACATTTGCATTTATAAACTTGCATAATCAAGCTACAAAAAGTGTCTATTTATTAGAAAATCTAGCAGTATCTAAGTAATACAAAATTTTCGATTTACGCCAATGCTTAATCTCTCAATTTTAGTATCCAATACAAAATTGTCGACTTATACCTAAAAACTCTTAATTTTGTTTAGTTAAGGTCGCGTATGAAACAGCTTTGAATGGTTTGTATGTCTTTGTATGACTTAATACCTATTTGCTGACATAATCGGTTAATGGTTTTTAAATTGCCGTCTGTGGTAATGCGATTCTGCAATAGTTTTGTTAGATAATTAAACTTTAATGATTCAATGTTATGAGCACGCTTTGTGGGCAATAGCTTTGAGTTTGAAGCTTTAAAATATACATGGTAAGGCGTAAATAACTAAATTGTCGATTAGAACCTAAATACAGAGTTCTGGCATGTTTTGAAGTCATCATTATAAATATTTTTATTCAAATAACATTATTTTGTGTTAGATAGGTAATAAAAATTACATGAGTATAGTATAATAAAATTAGTCCTATTTGACTCACTTGATGTTTTTTTTAGTATTATTTTTACTAACAAACATACAAAGTTTTAGTTTTTATTTTTATTTCTAGGTTACATTTATTTATTAACATGTTTTTTGTTTTAAATCAATAATAATGTACTTTGAGTTGAATTTGAATTCTTAGGGAAATAATGTAACTTTTAATCTAATTCTGCCAGTGAAAGTGCCATCAAAAACAGAAAAGTGTTTCAGCCATATCCGGTTAGGAATAAACTAATAAAACGTATGTTTATCTCAGTATAATTTGCCCCCAACGGGATTTGAATCCTATACACAGCTGGCCTTGTAGTCGGTTGAAAAGTTTAAAAGTTTTAAGAACTCTACGTAATAAACTTTCAGCTATTTCTCCATTTCCTTTAAAATTGAAAATTTTGTTGTTACATAAGAATACTATCTCAGTTGATAAGAAGATTTATATATTGCCCCAGCATCGTGTTTCACTAAATCAACGGTGGGTAGTCGGTTCGGTTCCGGACGGTGTCGCACCCACGGATTGTTAGGCGGAGGGCAGGATAGACGTGCGATATGGATTTGAGATATTGATATTTTAATAGATATTGGATTAAACCGCAACGGTATTTACTATTTACCCACATAAGTGTTTTTTCTAAAAAAATGCCAGTAGTAGAGACGGTTATTAATTTATTAACTAAATTTCTGAAAGTTAAAACCTCATGTTTTCAACCGACTTCAAAAAAGGAGGAGGTTCTCAATTCGACCCGTATGTTTTTTTTTTTTTTAGAGCAACAAAAAAGCTTAAAACATAAGTTTAAAAAAATAAAATAAAAAATACAAGATAACAGTTTT